GTTTAGTAGATATACCCCAAATGAAATAGTACATGTGGTTTATTTTGCGAGGTTTGCTTTCAGATCAAGTATTTGCCGCTACTGCAAGTCCTCCCCTTGTTCCCCAGCTCAGATTGGTGCTGCTGTCCAATGCCCAGCTTATCAATAAGCTGTTTAATAGCTCACTGAGAAGTCTTTGCAAGGCAGGTGCTCCATGACATGGCTACCATTTTGCATTTAGCTTTACAGAGCTAAGCTACCAGGTAATTAATTTGGAAATTTAACATACTGCACCATATATTTCTCCTCTCTTTTCCCACTACATGCCACTTGGTATTTGATGGTCCTTCCAGTGCGCTTCTCCCAATAATTCATCTCCTCTACTCCAACGACCAGATCAAGGACCAGACAAGAGACACTCTGGTTTAGGGGTAACAGCTGCCTTTTATAAGCACTATAAACCTCTTTTATCTTTTATTTCAAGCTACCAGGAAGTAACAGGACCAGCTGACAGATTCTATTAAAATCCTCACTTTTAGAAAATTATAAAATGAGAAACACTATTCACAGAAATGTATCAAGCGGGATTGCTTTCCGTGTTTGGACAATGCAATGGAAGCTGCTGGCTATTTATAAATAAATTATGACAAACAGAATATTTCCCATAAGGTAACAATAAAGTGATTGGATTGTATGAGTTTGGCATGTACTTAGCTTTTCCGTAATACTTGTAGATTTCTAATTTAGAAAATTTCAGCAGATATTTGAACATACTTGAAAGATGCTGATGGCTTTGAAGTTTGACACTGGGAATACATGTTCAGCACAGTCTCTTTGATAGTTATAAACCTACTTCCAATTAACCAACAAAATAATCAATATCGTTGAAGGAACACTTCAAATACTAGTGGACTTTAGCTCACACCCCCTTGGCTGTCAATCAGACGGCCGGTCCTGTTACTTCCTGGTTTGTTTAGCTCAGTGAAGATAAACTCAAGAGGCAGAATTCCCTTGCAAAGACTTCTCATTGAGCTGCTTCGGGAAGTCTGTGATTGGACAGCTACATGAAATATGGGCTAGGGAAGAAGAGGGCTTTCAAATTCTGCAGATACGAATTCTGCAGCATCTGCAAGCTGTTTTAGATATACCCCCTATGCACAAATGCATAATTAAAGGAAGGTATGTTTCATTGGGCTATTTCTACCAAATAGTGTTTATTTTGTAATTAGGCTGTGGAGTGTCCCATTAAGCAAAAAGGTCAAATGTATTTAAAAAAAAAATGAGTGACTGACGCTGCAGCCCATTATTCGGACAAGGCTTCCACTGAGAAGATGCAATGATTGCCTCTAGTTGAAGGTGAGGTGAACCAATGCGGGCATTGGGTAGCTTGTGGAAGATATGAGTTTGAAACACCAACAGGTGGAGAAATGCATTATTACAACACAATTGTCAAACATCAGATTGTCACAAGCAAGAAAGACACCGTGCTGCTTAATTCTGCTTATGGATGTCATTTGATATATTTTTATGTTAAATATACTAATATTAAACACATACCAAAATAGAATTCTCTTTTAATCTTCTCTGGAGCCCCTTGGACGATTGCAGTTCAAGGTAGGATATTTTTTTTTAAAATGGCATGTCATTTGCCTTAATTCTAAATAAGCTTAAAGTATTTTAACCCATTATAAATGAATTTAAAAATACTTATATAATCAGCATTTGCTGTATATATATATATATAGATTTTTATACTTGTAATAAAAGGAATGGTAATACTGTGTATTAGAGATGTGGACCACCACAATGTTTTGGTGAAGGGTTTTCTTTTTTTACCAAATTGTCACTAATTTTATTACGGTAACATCAGTGCTGTGTGGTGGACTAGCATTTTAGGGTTTTAGGGTTTTTAATTCAGCATGTATAGCGGTTTCCTTTTATTATACAATAATACAGTTATTTCCTGTTTAGCATTTCAGTATGTATTCACATTAGAGAAAATACAGTGAGTCTAAATGCAAATAATTTAATTAAAATCTTGTGGGTTTTTTTTTTGTTTTGTAAGATTTCTCAATTTGTTTTGTACAGACAATAAAAATAAAATTGGTAAAAAGGGATTGTGACAAATTGCAATGCTTTCGTTTATCAGCCTTTACTCAGGTTAAGCAATTTTAATTTGTTTTGTTTTTAACTTAGAAAATATTTCATTTTAAATGATCATTTTCTAATGCGAATACAGTTGTTTTATAACAATATAACACTGGTATGTGAGATATTACACTTTTCTAATATTTAAGTGTGTCAACGATTCATCCAGCATAAAATGACGACATTTATGATATCCTAAAAAATATAGACGGCACCTTCATTTACTCATCTATTAATAGTGGATTGTAAATAATAATGTCATCTAGAATTTAAATTGATTAGCAACATCTGATAGTTAATAACAGTTTATTGATTATTCCAGATAACCTGACTTGTCTAGAGATAGCGTGATCTACATTGTAAATTGATTAGCAACATCTGCTAGTTAATAACCAGTTTATTGATTATTCCAAGAAGCACAACTTTCTGGAGAATAAACAAAGTATTTATGTAACACATTTGAATAGAAGGTCCTAAGCTTGAAGTTAACTGACAACATTTGGAAACATTTTGCCATGTTTTGGTCATTCACTTAGCCTTTTAATTGTTAGATAAAATGAAAATCAAACACAAAGAATAATAAATGAATTTTCAAGGAAAGTTGTGTTTAGTTATTAATATATGAAACCAAGAGGGCTGCACTCCCCTAAACATTTCATACACTATAGGGTGCTGCTGGGGACAATATCTACAACATACAAAATGCACAATCCGGCGCACTCGCTTATTCACTAAACAATATATCTTTTAGTTGGACATTAACTATTAGGAAACTTTCTATCTAATTATAATTGATTATAACATTTATGAATTGCTAGATTGTGCATAATGCTTTGCTAAATTTAGCATCTTTCATCCGTCCAGCACGTAAAGGGTTCATTTAAAATACTCATTGTGATCTGGTTGTTTATTTACAGAAACTGCAGAAATGCATTTAAAACCTATTTTAAATGTCCTTGAATACTGACACGTTAAAAAATGTGAACTTTTTTTTTCTATCTGACCAGGTCATGTTTAAAATTAGACAAAGCAAATTTTAGGTCCATAGTTCACATCGAGAAACCGCTGAGTATTCATTTGGATTTTAACTCTTAGAAACAGGTAGCAGATTCTAAGAACAAGTTCTACAAATTCTAAGCAAGGACTTGTACACCGCCATGGAATATGTTGCTGCTTTTTAAATAAGTTGATAATATTTCAACATTTCTAAACAAAATGGTATGTTGGCATTCCAATGCTAATTGTAATATGCTGTTTTTTTTTTTTAACAGTTAAGGTATTTACAGATTGATTAAAAAGGTGTGTACCCTTTAATTCATTTAAAGAGACACTAAATGCAGAACATTTTCAAGAATACATCGAAGCATCCTAATCACACGCTGTCTACTGCCATAAAACACAACGTTCTTCGTCCCAATATGAATGTTAATGTTTGAGATACCGAGCAGAATATGAATAGTTTTTTTTTTTTAATTGTAACTATGCAATTTTCTATATATTTCCTTCAACCTGCTAGAGATTATCGTAAATATGCATTTATCATAAATGTACACTATCTCATTCCATGCCGTGCAATAATATGTGTTCGGCTGCTGTGCGACTGGCTGATATTTTATAAACCAGCCGCAGCACTGGGTGAGAGAGCCAGTGAGGGGCCGGTAGTAACTGGCTCAGATCATACTGTGTTTAGCTCAATAACCTGGTGGGGCTACACTGGATACAGCTGGGTGAGAGAGCCAGTGAGGGGCCGCTAGTAACTGGCTCAGATCATGCTGTGTTTAGCTCAATAGCCTGGTGGTGCTACACTGGATACAGCTGGGTGAGAGAGCCAGTGAGGGGCCGCTAGTAACTGGCTCAGATCATGCTGTGTTTAGCACAATAGCCTGGTGGGGCTACACTGGATACAGCTGGGTGAGAGAGCCAGTGAGGGGCCGCTAGTAACTGGCTCAGATCATACTGTGTTTAGCTCAATAACCTGGTGGGGCTACACTGGATACAGCTGGGTGAGAGAGCCAGTGAGGGGCCGCTAGTAACTGGCTCAGATCATGCTATGTTTAGCACAATAGCCTGGTGGGGCTACACTGGATACAGCTGGGTGAGAGAGCCAGTGAGGGGCCAATAGTAACTGGCTCAGATCATACTATGTTTAGCACAATAGCCTGGTGGGGCTACACTGGATACAGCTGGGTGAGAGAGCCAGTGAGGGGCCGCTAGTAACTGGCTCAGATCATGCTATGTTTAGCACAATAGCCTGGTGGGGCTACACTGGATACAGCTGGGTGAGAGAGCCAGTGAGGGGCCGCTAGTAACTGGCTCAGATCATGCTATGTTTAGCACAATAGCCTGGTGGGGCTACACTGGATACAGCTGGGTGAGAGAGCCAGTGAGGGGCTGCTAGTAACTGGCTCAGATCATGCTATGTTTAGCACAATAGCCTGGTGGGGCTACACTGGATACAGCTGGGTGAGAGAGCCAGTGAGGGGCCGCTAGTAACTGGCTTAGATCATGCTATGTTTAGCACAATAGCCTGGTGGGGCTACACTGGATACAGCTGGGTGAGAGAGCCAGTGAGGGGCCGCTAGTAACTGGCTCAGATCATGCTATGTTTAGCACAATAACCTGGTGGGGCTACACTGGATACAGCTGGGTGAGAGAGCCAATGAGGGGCCGCTAGTAACTGGCTCAGATCATGCTATGTTTAGCACAATAGCCTGGTGGGGCTACACTGGATACAGCTGGGTGAGAGAGCCAGTGAGGGGCCGCTAGTAACTGGCTCAGATCATGCTATGTTTAGCACAATAGCCTGGTGGTATTACTCTGGATACAGCTGGGTGAGAGAGCCAGTGAGGGGCCGCTAGTAACTGGCTCAGATCATGCCATGTTTAGCACAATAACCTGGTGGGGCTACACTGGATACAGCTGGGTGAGGAGCCAATGAGGGGCCGCTAGTAACTGGCTCAGATCATGCCATGTTTAGCACAATAGCCTGGTGGGGCTACACTGGATACAGCTGGGTGAGAGAGCCAGTGAGGGGCCGCTAGTAACTGGCTCAGATCATGCCATGTTTAGCACAATAACCTGGTGGGGCTACACTGGATACAGCTGGGTGAGGAGCCAATGAGGGGCCGCTAGTAACTGGCTCAGATCATGCCATGTTTAGCACAATAGCCTGGTGGGGCTACACTGGATACAGCTGGGTGAGAGAGCCAGTGAAGGGCCGCTAGTAACTGGCTCAGATCATGCTATGTTTAGCTCAATAGCCTGGTGGGGCTACACTGGATACAGCTGGGTGAGAGAGCCACATGAGGGGCCGCTAGTAACTGGCTCAGATCATGCTATCTTTAGCACAATAGCCTGGTGGGGCTACACTGGATACAGCTGGGTGAGAGAGCCAGTGAGGGGCCGCTAGTAACTGGCTCAGATCATGCTATGTTTAGCACAATAGCCTGGTGGGCAGGGCTGCCATCAGGGCATGACAACCGCAATGGTTGTCATGGGCCCAGCGGTCCTCGGGGGCCCGGACTGCTCAGGTCGTCCGGGCCCCACATTCAGTGGGTACATACCGGGTCGCAGGGGGCCCTGCGACCCCGGTATGTACCCACAGGGTCAGCCTCTTCTCCTGGGGGGCCCAGCAGCCGGTCACCTCAGGGCCCCCCAGAGGCTGGCCCTGCTGACACCCGGCGGGCAGGCGGGCGCGCGAGGGAGCACTCTCCTCTGTGTGCTTCCTCTTCAGCTCCCTCGCTCACCGCGTACTGATGCCGGAGCCGGAAGATGACGTCATCTTCCGGCACCGGCATCAGTACGCGGCGCGCGAGGGAGCTGAAGAGGAAGCACTCAACCAGGGAGAGTGCT